TTATCGTCACTCGATATAGGTGGCATGAGTTACTCTCACTAGATGGAAGTAATTGTAACGATAGTTTGTGGTTGATACAGAATACTGATGAAATACTGCTCAGATTGAGTTGTTTTGTAATAACTCGGGTTTCTAATGCTTATTGAGCATTAATGAAATTTTTCAGTTGTATAGTGTATCACTAATAATTGGGTAATTAAGTTATCTACTCACACAGGTTAACATGGTCTGTTAAAGATCTTGTTGAGAGCTAACGTTATGGTTTGTAATGAAAGGAATCCCAATCCTCAATCGTGAATGTATCAGGATTGGCCGAGACGAAACCTGTTTGATATTGCAAAAGGTAGTTTTTCTTGCAGGAGCGTCACACAGGGACGTGTGACATGTCAGAATGGCCGTGTCGTGGATAACGACTTTTAGTTGTCGTGGATAACGACTTTTAGTAATATTAAGACGGTGGTTTTGATTATTATTTTAAATGATGAGATGTTGTTTTGATAAATATCACAAAATGAAGGGTAGACTACGTAACGCCACAGTATAAAATGGCGGTACGTGGACAGAGTCGTGGCATTCCGTGTCAGACAGTCATTCCGTCCGTCTCAGTCAGTCGGTCTGTCGGTATGTGCAACGAAACTGTCGGTTTATCCTGTCAATGTGAAAGTTGTGTGTGTTGAGTTTCAATAATTATTACTGAAAAGTTTTATTGACTAAACTGAGTTCAATCGACTACGAGTGCTCAGCCATCCCTGACGTGAGCCGACATATATATATTATATTTTAATATTATATACATTATACATTACACATTACACATTACAAACATTATATATATATATAATGTTGGAACAGGAAGGGACTCAGTACTGAACCTTGATGCAGACCTTCTGCAACTGCTATAGGTTTTGCCTGACCCACTAATGTTCGTACCATTGACCTCCCATCCCGGTACATGTCGACTATGACGTGCCCGTGTTATATATATAATTATTAGCTACCCCACCCTTCAAACCGAAACGCATTAACTGCTTCACGGCAGAAATAGGCAGGGCGGTGAACCTACCCGTGCGGACTCACAAGAGGTCCTACCACCAGTGATTACGCAAATTATAATTTAATGCAACAACATTCAACACCGAATAGCCACCGCGTGGCTAAAATGGCGAGAAGTAAGTGGTGTCACCTGCGATAGGAGGATGGTCCTTAAACTCAAGGGTTATAATCTATAAGGCCTGTTTTTATGTATGGAAGCGAAACATGGGCGGCAACCAAAAGGAATGTGCATACCATTCAAGTTGCTGATGAAGATGCTTAGGTGGATGTGCGGCGTGACCAGGCTCAATAAAATCCGCAACGAGTACGTGCGTGGAAGCCTCGGTGTACGGGACATCGCCGACAAGATGCAGGAGAGTAGGCTGAGATGATATGGTCACGTGAAAAGGAAGCCACCTGACTACGTCGGAAATTTAGCACTACTGCTCAACCTCCCCGGTCGGAGACCTAAAGGTAGACCCAAGACAAGGTGGAAGGATGTCGTGCTGAAGGACAAAAGGGAATGCAATGTTGCCGACGAGGATGTCGAAGACAGAGAGAAGTCGAGGAGTAAAGTGAAGTAAGCTGATCCCGCCACCATGTGGGATAAATAGCTGGGAAGAGAGAGTATGTAGAAAGCTTACTTTTTGTTCCCTGGGCGATTCACTTTTTTGGGTTATCTAGTCGTTCTGGGAGTTTGAGTAGGTAGGTTTGAAATTTTATGCGACCGCGATGTCATATTTCTGCAAATAAAATAATAACTGTATCTATTTGATTTAATTATTTCCTTGAACATTAATTCACACATACTTAACCTATAAATAGAACAATTTACTGATTGTTAAACAAACCAAACTCGAGATTATGGACCCAATTCATAATTTGATTAAATATTTTGCATCATGTAAAGGACTTACCTTAAATGTAAACACAATTCCTGTATCCAATTTTGTGGAAAAAAAAATGATTTTGAGATAAACATAGAAAAAACTGAATTTTGTTGTAAAATAAGGACCTAATTTGTTTTAATTCAGCCTGTCTAGTATTAAAAAATATTGCAATACTTACCCGATAATTTGCATTATAAATGCACAATTTCAATTTGGACAATGCGTCAGCGGTCCGGCTTCGTAAAATATTGGCGCTGTACTGGCTGGGCCTCTCTAGGAGGAAGAGGCAGACGCGCGAGAGGGTAGTGTGAAAAGGGCACAGTTACAGTATTCATTAAAATATTGTTTCCTATCTCTTTCTGTGAAAGCCAAGTGGTAGAACAGTTGATATTAAGCCTATATAACGCAAAAAGTCAAAACCTCAAAATTTCGAATTGTGCCCATTTAATACTAAGGGAGCGATCTATTTATGTTTGATTATTTTATTTGTATATTTGATTTCCTTATTGTTTACCCTAATATTTTGATTGGTTGATTGATATTTATTTTAATTATTTTTTTAGTTTGAGAAGTTTTTTTTTAATGCTTACATGGGTATACGAGCTGCCCCAGTCCACCTGGTGTTAAGTGGTTGCTGGAGCCCATAGACATCTACAACGTAAATGCGCCACCCACCTTGAGATATAAGTTCTAAGGTCTCAGTATAGTTACAACGGCCACCCCACCCTCCAAACCGAAACGCATTACTGCTTTACGGCAGAAATAGGCGGGGTGGTAGTGTCTAACTGTCTACCCGTGCGGACTCACCTCCTACCACCAGAGGTCCTACCACCAGTAATTAATTGCGCAAATTATAATTTTGCGGGTTTGATTTTTATTACACGATGTTATTCCTTCACCGTGGAAGTCAATCGTGAATACTTCGTCGTATACGAACGCACCGGACGGCGTATCCTTTAGGCCACGACGACTTCGAATCGATTGGGTTGAATCGATTTTTGACATTTGATATTAAAAGTAGATAAATAAGTTAATTTTTTTCACTCAATCTCACATTCGTGCCGTTTATGATATTCACGGGCACTAATACTGAGTTTGCGCTGAGGGAACTACTTTTAGGGACACATCTACGATCAGTATCCACACGTCCACATATAAAAGGGCCACATATCCTAATTGGACTGTACGCAAATAGGTACTAAGTACTATTATCTCCCTTTAGCTGCCAAATAATACTAATGAAACTTTTTTTCATTAATTTTATTGAACTTAAATGCAGTTGTAATCATAATATTTAATATTAAACAATCGTACGACATCATACAGGTAATAATAGCATTAATAAAAAGTAATAAATAATAATAATAATAGCCTACGGGATAATTGTCAAGCGCTCTCGTGTCTACCTACCTACCTAACTAATTTTAATAACAATAATATTAGACTTTGTTATTTTTTAAATAATAGACCAACCGCCCGAGATTGTACCTGATCTCCTTCGGGGCGGTGCGGGGCGGGGGTCGCAGGGGGCTGGTTGTTGTCCCGGTACTGAGCTTGACGGAGGCGATGCCGACTCATTACGTCAAGTGCACAAATGTTGTTGTATGAACAGAGGGTGTATAAACTACAGAAGGATTGGATTCACATGCAATATTAGCACTCGAAGGATAATTATAACCAATATTGAGAAATGTTTGCGGAGCGCGGTAGTCTTGTATGGTTTTTAATACACTACCGTCTACAAGTTTGGAAGCACACCTGCTTTTATACAAAGCAAAAAAAAAAGAACATCGCGACACTTCGTAGTGAAAAATTATATAGAAAATATTTGTTGCCACAATTTAAGATTGTTTACACAAATACAATAGGATTATACCACATGTTCAAGTTTTAACAAAATATTCTTTGATTTTGACGAAACACGTGTTTATCCGGCTGCTTTTATTTTTATGCAAGTGTAGTTTTATTTTAACATTATGCTATGATCCTAAGCGGTCGTCTAAATTTTTGGAACAAGAAAATAAAATAAGAAATTAAAATATTTAAAAAAATTTGCAACGTCTATTTTCATGACCTGACCTTTCTTGAATCGTCCCATTGAACTTTCTGTCTTCTGAACTTTCTCATTGAACTTGTTTGGGAAGAACTCGACAGAAGTGTAACAAATGGATCGTCAACTAATTCAGAACATTTGTGTCCATTATTGCAGAGCGAGCAGAAAAACATAAATGAATATTTCAAGAAATTAATTAATAGAATGCCTAGAGGATGTTAAAAGAAAAAGTGAATATTCATATACTGTGTTAGATTATTTTGTTTAATTATTAAGATATCTGAAATGGATTATGGGAAGATGGAATATACCTGCACTTGGGCACTTTCACAGATGTTTGGCATTTATTGGTTAGCCACCGTAGTTACATGATCCAACTTGAAGTAACACTAAACCAACAAAATAATAGTTATCATAACTTTCCTCTCGCGTTTCCGCCAAAATCAGTTCCGGACACGAACGCTAATCAACTTCTTAATTACTGACATTGGTCAGTAATTAAGTAATTAGTACATCGGGTAAGCCGGTATGTAATTATTATGTACTTCAAGTACATCACAAGGATGTCGCGTTTATTGAATTATCAAATATAAAAAGTGGTTTTAGCGCCCGTCGGTTCGCCAGACAAGTATCCCGGCAGCTGGCGGTCACACAATCTCTTTCATCTCTCTTCTGTATCCATTCGCTCAACTTGTGATAGTTCAGTGGCGGGGCTGGAGGCAGCTGCCCGCGGGCGCCGCGGCCGGGGCGGCTTGCTTATTCACTACTTAACTTACATGGTAATGTTTTGTTCTCATTTATCACAATCGAAGATGGTCGTTGGTCGACATTTACTTTCAGAATTCGTTCTAATACTAAGGGTGACTAGGTTATCTTAGCGGTACTGATATTGTTCGTAGAGTCAGTTGTTACATTATTTAGTTCCGCGTAGTCCGGGGGCGACGCCGCAGCGTCCCCCGGGACTCCGGCCCTGTTGTGATGTGTGAGTGATATGTGTGCCTACATATGTCGGAACATATTTTGACTGCCGTTTAGTCAAATGCATTAATTTTTTAATTATTTGATACCCGAGATTTATTGCTTCGTTTAGCTATATATTCTTTAAGTTTTTGTTTTAAAATAAGCGACCGTCGACCGGCGTTTCACAAACCACAGTACGTAGAGGCGCGAAATATAGTAATGATTAGTATATCCATAATTTAAGATCAAAAGATATTGAAAAAAAATGTAGTGGGGATCCCCACCAGGACCGGGCGGGGCGCCTGGTCCAGTTGAACGCTGACGTAACCGCGGATCGCATGTAGTCTAGCCTGTAATAAAGCCTCAGCTGGTTGAGATAAAGCAGTAGGTTGGCTGCGCTGTGACGTCACACGCCGTGGTCCAGGTCGGCGTGGTCCCGGGGCGACCGGCAGCCGAGCAGCTCCAAGCAGTTGGCGAGCGGGCCGCGGCTGAAGGGCGAGCGGCCGCCGCGCGCCTGGAAGTGCTTGTAGCGGCCGCGGTTCAGCTGCTCGTTGGTGGTCATGCCGAGGCACACCACCAGGTACATCTGGAAGCCGGTCAGCACCGTCACCCAGAACAGGTGGAACGCGGCATTGAGCATCACCCACGAGATCCAGCCGTTGCAGGAGACCCAGGCGAGCGGCTCGGCGGGCGCGGGGCACTGGTCGCGCAGGTAGCGCGCGCCGCCCCACAGCATCCAGCAGCACATGAGGATGAGGCTGCACAGGAAGCCGATGAAGTGGCGGTGGTTGTTGGCGCCGATGCAGTTGCCGACCCAGGGACAGTGGTGGTCGAACTTGGCGACGCAGCGGTTGCACACGGCGCAGTGCTTGGACCGCAGCGGGCGCCGCACCAGGCACGCCGAGCAGAACCGCGACGACTCGAACCCGCCGCCCGCCGCCTCCGACAGCTCGATGATCGTCTGTTGAGAGCCCCCATGAGCCCCCATGAGCATGTTCACAAAGCAGTCACGCAATGTGATATGTACGTAGCCCTTGATGCCATTAACTATGACCTCGTAAATTCGCAAAGAAAATAAAAATATAATGTGAGGTGCAATCTGTACTGACCCTGAACTTGTCAGCTTTGGAAGCTGTAATGACGCCAGGATCGGAACGCCACGAGCGCAGGAATGTCACCCACAGCAACCCCGAGCAAACTGCGAACCCCAGAGACCAGCTCCACCCCACCACCGGAAGGATAAACACCACCCACGTTATGTAGAACCACACCTGAAACATGATATCACCAAAGCTCTTAAATTCTTACATTTTGTATCAGTCTGTAACATTCTATAGGTTTGAATAATAATGGCTGGCGCCCATTTCCACCCATCTTCTGGTACCAACGTCCACATACATCGCACCTCCGTACCTTAAACCTCATTGACTACTGAATAGCAGGTAGTAGATACATTTAATAAAAAATATCAAATGAGTAATTTAACATTTGTTGTACTTTATTTATTTATTTTTATTATTGTCCTATAAGTCAAGAAGGCTCAACTGGTGGTAAGTATTCAACATTACTCAAGGACACTAGCATTGCAAGGAACACAGCTATTCACTTATGTAGATAATAATATATGTATTTGGAGTTTTATATTCAAGGTGGGCCAATGAAATGGTTGATCACTTCACACAGACTTGATTCTATATTTCGTCTTAATCTATGTAACTAAAATATAATCGTCTTGCTTCTACACCGCGTCTGTCCGCCGTCGGCAGTCGCATCCGGCAAGTCCGGCTTCTCGCTTAAAAAATAAAACTAGGTGTTCCGCATTCATTTGCCGTCTTTCTTACTTCCTAACATGACATCTCCTATCTCTCTCACTCAGTCATGCTCTATATCTGTCATTCATCCATATCGCTCCATTCCGTTCCTACATGTACATATATAATTTATTTGATTTAAATTGTGTAAAGAGTGAACGAGCTCACAAGTTCCTAGTTGATATCAGAGCACAAGACAACACATCAGGGATGCCAACACCCAGCTTGAGACTTGAAGTCTATGTCGCAATTGTTTAGTGATAACACATGTTTGCTATTTTGATTTTTATTACTCAATGTTACTCCTTCATTGGGAAAGCATCCATGAATATGTGTTCCGTAGGTATTTTCTTAGAATAATTAGTACCTGCCTCCAAGATTTGAACATCAGCATAGTTGTGTCGCTGGATATGGGTACACCTGACATCTTATTTACTTTTAAAATAAAATTTTAGATAGCATAAAAATATTTAGAAAATGAATCACAGTTGTCTTACCTTGGTTGCGAGATATATACTCAGGGGAAATATGTTTTTGAGTTCATCATCAAATAACAAGTTACTAGTAAAATGTAAAAGTGAGTAGAAACCAATCAAGATTAAGGTTTTTAGAGGATAGTTTAAGTCCGTCTCCAGGATGAGGCCAGTCAAGTAGAATGCCATGAATGGCATTACTACCACACACCACCATCTGAATTTCTGCAAAATTCAATGGTTTAATCAGACAACTAAGCATAATATAAATTGAGTAGTGGTATGGTTATTACAAGTTGCATATTTGATTATCAACATGTTAGAGTTCAGTAACCTTCTACAGCTCAGCAACTGATTATCATTTAATTTGATATTATTATAAATAACAAAAACGCTATACCTTGTCATATGTTAATCTTCTAAATATTGATAATCTTTCTGACTCCATTGTACGTTCCTTTATTTTGTCTGAAACTTTAGAGCCAACCCATAAGGAATCAGCACTCGCCTGTAACATCTGCAATGGAGTCACTCCTCGCAGGTTGGGTACATCCAAATTAGCATCACCCTGCATATAGATAAGCTTCATTTAATCAGATGCATTTAATAAAGATAAAGCAAGAAAAACGAAACTCACATAAAGTATCAGAGTGGATATGGCCGTAGTGTTACGTGCCAGAATAGCCCAGTGCAGGGCTGTATTACCATGGCCACGATCAGCTGGTCGTGTTGATGCACCTAAAGTAAGGAGTAAACGTGTTGGGTCCACAGCTGCAACCTTCCAGCTTGCCCACATGAGCGCCGTCATGCCACCTGCATCAGGTTCATCCACAGTCACACCTCGTGCCACTAGGTACGCCACCACAGCAGTGTGACCGAATTGTGCTGCCAGGTGTAGGCACGCGCAGCCCTCGGCGTCACGCAGCGAAGGGTCGGCTCCCGCGCGGACCAGCAGCACAGTCGCGTCCAGGTGCCCTTGCCGCGTCGCCCAGTGTAGCGGTGTCGACTGTAACTCTCCCCCAACTGCATCGACATTCGCGCCCTTCGACAGCAAGTACTGGATGATGTCGCGTCTGTTGTTGATTGCAGCCCAGTGCAGCAAGGTCACCGTTTCGCCGTCGGGTCGGTTCACGTCCCAGCCAGCTTCGACGAGTTCTTTAACGCGCACAAATGCTCCGTACTGCGTTGCTTTCACGATATCGTAGCCGCTGTAATCTCGTTCAGTTGGTGGTGGTGGAGGTTCCCGCGGTTCTGGAGGTTCTCGTTCAGCCTGCGCAGGGCCACACTGGCCAGTCGCCGCTGCACCACAAGTACTGTCGTACATCATTGTGCAAGATAATTCTTGACACTTACTACGGCATTTCCACAATTAATACGAAACTTATTTAACGTATCTTTCTGTTACGGATATCTCAGCCAATGAACTTCATATTACGATATTGACTTCGACCAGCAGTGGTCTAGACCAGTTCACAAATAAGCAACATTGTTCTACAAACTCTGTACAAAAATTGAAGTTCATAAATATAGATAATATACATATGTTGAAGTTTATAGATCAGTTCAATTTGACATAACGTGACATCATTTTTTTTCCTTGACAGGCAAAAGACGAACAGAAAATACAACCACGGCATTTTTTTTTTAAACAAATTAGTGTTATAATCAACTAATCTGAATGCATTAAAAATACTAAATAACGAAAAATAATAATATAATTAGCACGCATTGGCCAAGGAAAGGGGCCAAGAACGGCGTGTAGTCTTTTAAGGGATTTTATAAAACCTTTAAGTCATGTCTTATTTTAATTAATATTCTTATTTTTATGAAAAATGGTAAAATTAAATGAAATGAGATGAGATGATATGGGATGAAATATAATCTCAGTAAAATGGTGGTCATTTACTGAAAATGTTTCAGAGGACTTTTCGAAGGATCCCGAGAAGTTACGTCCAGCGGCTTTGTTTCATTTTCCCTCATTTGTGCACTTTCACAGATATTAAATAGTTAATAAACCACCGTTATTACACATTTAAATTTGAAGAAACACTAAATAGACAAAATAAAACATATCACCCACCTTCACCCCTCGCGTTCCCGCCAAAAAGTCCCGGCCCGGCGTGTAGTGGTAATAGCGGTTCCATAAATAATACATTTAAAATATACTTACCATGACAAAAATAAATGACTATATAACTCGTTATTATGGATATCGTACGCGTTCGTGTTGTAATAAGTCTGACGTCCAGCTGCTTGTAGTCATTGGAAAATAACTAAGTTGAAATGAATCAATTCACTTCTTTTTGTTTTTCATCGCACTATGAGTTTGCATAGACTGTTTTTTTGTTTGTAATATTTATAAAAGTTCTAAAATTCTAAAAGCTATGTTTTCTATAGGGGTAGGAAAATCTGGATGACGATAAAAAGAACAACTTTCTCTGATGATACAATTACAAATAGTAATTGTAGAGTAACAAATGTATTTTTTGAACTCGCTTTCCTTGTTTGGGTACCGGCTTATTAGCTGGTATAATGAAGCCCCTTAAGTTTATGACACTAAAAGATTTCTCTACCCACGTTGTGTTCTTATTAAAAGACGATCAAAGTTGAACCAAAAAATAAAAAATGAAGTAATACGAGAACGCTTTATCTAAAAATATGAACATAGCACTCAAAAAGTTAAACAATGAATGGGGTGATAAAATTCAAACAACTAGAGGGTCTAGGGGACGCGCGGCTCTCACTCGAACTCGCGGCGCCACCATGATGATACCTCACTTCGATAAAGTGGCACGACATGAGAACACTCTCATCGTGACCGCCGATAACTACATTCCCAATCCTGCGGACAGTATGGTAAACAGTCGACGTCGCCCCAAAGACGTCATTTCGGATCCTCCCGATCCACTAACGGTGCTTTTAGGTACCTCAAGCACCGGTCATCGTTCTCGTCGAACCCGTCGCTTGCGACGAAGGACTTGACGAGTAAATTAACCCTCAGACACAGCCCACTGAGTTTCTCGCCGAATTTTCTCAGCGGGTCGCGATTCCGATCCGGTAGTAGATTCATTAGCAAAGCTGCTGCGCTTAAGTTGTAAAGTCTCCTTTGGAGGCGCTAGGGCAGCTGTTAGCAAATCCCACCCTTCCTGGCTGAACCTGCGTTCGCCCACTTGTCCTGGTGAAAGTGGAAAGGCCTCCGAGCTATCAGTAATCCTTTAATCATAAAAAATACTATATTTTGCAAACATTTTTTTGTTGTTGTTTTTTTTCATTTATTTCAGATATTACATCCTAAATTCATTAAAAATAACATTTCACATAGAACATAAAAAAACAACTACAATAATTTCGAAATAAAATTAAAATGAATGTCATAAAAGTGACAAATTACTAAAAAATGAATGTAAAAACTACCTTAACCTATAGGCTGGTTTGGATCCAGAGTGCTCAACTGGCACACTTGTCCAGTGTTGCATTATTGGGCAGTCCAGATCCATCCGCGAGGCGAACAGCCGCCGGTAGCTGCTGCGGCTGCCCCGCGCGCGGCGCGTCAGGGGAGCGATTCGTTTACGAATGATTGCCGCGAAGCTATCTATTCGCGCATGCGCAAACATCCCCGACACACCGCAATAACGCGGCAGCCTCATCAGCGCTCTGAAGGCGTTGTCATATTGGACACGCAGGGGATTGTACGATTTCTTGGTGTACTTAATCCATAGGCTGCACGAGTAAAAAGACTGGCAGTATGCTCTGAAAAGAGTAGCCTTCACTTCTGCAGTTACCCGCCAGCATATTACCTTCTGATTGACAACGCCCTGCGCTCCTTGTCAATGTCTACATAGTCTGCGAGCGTCTCAGTGACCCAGCGACCCAGATACTAGACTTGCAATACAAGGACACTGCCGCTGAGTGTGGCTGGTGGGACAGTTTCATAGTTAGCTCGCTTTTAACAGCATTATATCTAAGCCCATGTTTTCCGCATAACACTCCCACATCCCAATCAGCTTTCTGAGACCCCTAATCGATAGGCTCAGCAACACCATGTCGTCTGCATAACTAATGTTATTGACAAACACCATCAATGGCAGCCGACACTGGCATTGCTGAGTCCACAGATCAGGCGATCAATGAATAAGTTAAAAAGCCAAGCCGTCTTGTCTTACCCCACAATCCAGCCTGTCCAACATGTCCGATTGCAATCCCGACCACCGAAGTTGCTGTGATTACCATACCAGTATTTCCAGAGAGAGACAAACTCATGAGACAAGTCTCTCTAATTACATAAGCGACTTAGGCGGCGGCGACGCAACGCAAAGCTGCCGTTGCCCAATACATGTATTGTCCTCCGGATCCACTCTGGATAGTTTTAGGTTTTCAAGTCCGGAAATATTTTGGGACTCAGAAGGGATATTGTTGATTGATTACCTGGAGCGTGGAACTTGTTACAGGCCAATATTATGCAGCTTTAATTCCCAAGTTGAGGAATGCCATCAAAGAGAAAAGGAGAGGGAAACTTCGAAGGGGCGTGCTGTTTCATCACGACAATGCACCCGCGCACAGGTCGGCAGTTGCAAAGGCTGCCGTTCAGCAAGCTGGCTTCGAATTGGTTGACCACCCCCCCCCCTTATTCACCAGAACTCGTGCCTAGCGATTTTTATCTGTTCCCCAAATTGAAAGAGTACTTAAGGGAAAACAGGTACGAAGACGATAACGAGGTGATGGATGCCGTGGAGGGATTTTTGCAGGACCAAGACAATTTTTTTTTAACTCAGAGACTTTGTAGAGATATAAATTATGTTATCAATAGTCATTATATTCTATCTCATTCTCACTACTTTTTAATCCCTCCTCGTATTTACTGTGATTTACCAGGCCGATGTCCGAAGTGCTTCGCGCGCCTTTTTCAAGGCGTAGTCTCTTGCGAGGAATTCGGGGAGGTGGAGGACCTTCTCGTCCCCCTCTTCCTCTCAGGAGGCGCCGGAGTCCGACATAACCCGGTCCGTTACCCCCCCGGACCGGGTATCCGTAAATGCATTCCCAAGCGTTAAAAAAAAAAAAAAGGCTGATGTCCATAATGCAAATCTTCAAAGCACGGTAGGTATGTAGCCCAGTGTGTCAAAATAATGGTGATTTTTATTATTTTCCGGCACTACACTTATAAAAGAATGGTAATCATTTTGAAACCACATGCTTTGTAAATCACTTTTGTGACGTCTTCTACTAAATTTGGCAAGTCATTTTGTAGAAAGGCTCGAAGGACCATAAAGATGTATGCGCTGCTGAATGTGGCGTACACAACTTGATACGAAGAAATCACTGATAGTCAAAAAATATGCGTTTATTATATGCTTGGCTAAAAGTAACTAATTCTATCTATGTATGTGGTGAGTACCGCTGTATGTAGGTGCTGGACGTGTACTGGCGCTTTATATGTACTACGGTTTGAGTAAAGGGATGTAAATGTGCTGATGTGAATGCGCGCGTGCCCTGTACGATACATGACTCGTACACCTAAGTTTCCTTATAGGTCAAAGGGCCCAATAATTCTTCCACTTATCGTGCTGGGGTACATAGTCGAATTTCTTGCAGGTTGTTTATCTAAGAATTGAGGATTTTCAATGTGCTTTTGCAGCATATCACGCCAAAAGGGGGCCCGTAGCGGCTAGTTGCCCGGTAATAACGTCTGCACGCGCCTGTAGTGACGTGAGTGAAGCCTGTGACGTTTTAGAATTCGATTTGCAGTACTTTTTGGGATTCCGTGGCTGCTACTGTGTCACGTACCAAAGTAGTTCATCGCGTGCTTATCTAGGTCTTCCAGCATATCTCCAGTCAGATGGTAATCGACCGTACGAAAACGCTTGATGCACATGAATAAATACTCGGTAATCCAGGTATATTTGCGGACTTGGGCACCTTTCTCAATACAATCTGCTAGTGGCGTTTTGGGGAGCTGAACGACAAAGGGAAGATCTTCCACCGAGCGGGTGATATTTGCTCGGTAGACTGACGATCCAAATGTTGTTGTTCGGAACTTGTATATATGCGAGCTTATCTTGAAAATGTAGTAAGCGAGATTCAGGCATCTGTCAAATATCTTGCGTTGTATGATGGCTACCCGCCACAGCGTTATATCAACATTCTTCATAAATGAGAAGTAGCGTATTAAATAGAAAAGGCAAACAGTCAATTCTAATTCACAAAAAATATAACAGTTCAAAATAATATATTTTTTACATAGTAGTTAACTATCAGCACCAACATCAGGCCCCACTCCGTGGCGGCACGCGACCGGCTCCCACTGACCGCTGCTTCTCCTCATAATGTATTTACCGTACCCCCCGCGCCCCCGGGGGACGCCGGGTCCGAGCAGAGATCAATGAAATCTCTTGGGCTCACATAGTTCGTTAATAGTATTCTCGTTTAGTTCCCAGTATTGATGAGCCACGCTGGGGAAGTTTGAGCGGGTAGACTGAAGCTGTTCATGCAGGTTGTCGTATCTCTCCCGATGTCCACATCTTATTACGCGGGTACTGCTGCCCATAGACCCACCTTGAGGCACGAGTTCTAGGCCTTAGTTTTACAGCACATCAGCTATCTGAACCTCCAAGCCGAAACTAACCACTGCTTGACGGCAGGAATGGGCGGGGTGGTGGCGTCTACCGGTGCGGCCCTACCACCAGTAATTACGTAAATTATATTTTTGCAAGTTTCAATTTTATTACCCGATGTTATTCCTTGACCGTGGAAGTGAATCGTGAGCATTTATTAAGTACGTATTTTATTAGGATAATGGATGCTCGCCTGCGGGACTCGAACGAGTGCAGCGGCTCCACGCCTGCGCTGTGCCGGGTTTGAGGATCTGAGAATAAATCTTCACTCAATTCTCAGCCGAGCCACAGTTCACTTAAGCGTTACTTAATTTCACTTTATTGTTTTAGTATTTCCATATTCTGTTGAACCAACTCTTTTTCATGTCATTACCCATGCGGAGTGTCTCTGCCACGACCACCACCACCACCGTCCGGCCGCCTGCTGCAGCTGGGGGTTTTGTCGGGTGACGTCACGCGCAAGGCGAACAGAAACAAGTCGACGTAAAGCTTTTCGTTTATTAGTAAAACAAATATCACTTTTATTTACAACCAAAGCAATCACAAATTATAATTATAACTAACAGTAATCACCTAAAACTACTTAACAGATCGAAATATTTACAATAGAATTAACAATGTAGGTGCCAGAGGGGCGGCGGCCGTCACGCGGTGGCGGCGGGGGGCGGCGCGGGCGCGGGCGGCGGGGGCGCGGCGGGGGTGCGGGCGCGGGGGCGGTGCGGGCGCGGCGGGGGGCGGCGCGCGGGGAGGGCGGCTCGCGCAGGCGCAGCGCCACCTCGAGGTCGCGCAGCACGTCGGTCTCCTTGTGGTCGAGCAGCGCGTAGCGGCGGTCGAGCGCGGTGAGGTGCGCGAAGGTGAGGTGCAGGTGCGCGTGCAGCCGCAGCAGCGCGAGCTCGCGGAAGTGCGCGGCGTACATGTGCGCCACCACGTGGAACAGCAGCCGCACCACGCGCCGCACCACGCCCTCGAACTGCGCGGGGAACTCGTTCGCTGAAACCGACCACCGGTACATTTCACAATATATTATTATAGACAATACGCTATATGTGTGTTAATGCGATGCGTCTTGAAGCTGCTCTCCGCGGAGCTGGGACCGTGCGGACACTGCCGCGGAGTTCTCGATATAATTTAAAAAGATTTATTTATTTATTCATTTATGTACACACAGAACAGAAGAAATAGTACAGAGTAATGGGAAAATTATGTATAAAGGCACTGCTTATTTCTTTAAGAAATCTCTTCCAGCAGACCTGCGAGAGGATTATGAGAATAACAATTAAAAGTGATGAGTGTGTGTAGAACAGCTAAAATAACAAATACAATATGAGAATTATAGTAATGCACATACACAGCAGATATTGTTAAACTTGAATACAAAATATTATAAGTAACACAGTATTTACGAAGAGTATAGAACAATGATCATTCGGTTGATGAGAGATAGAATTGTTTGACCTTGTATTTAAAAACAGAAACAGACTTGCAAACTCGGATGTCAGCCGGCAACGAATTCCACAGTCTGACCGCGTGCACAGTAAAGAAGTGAGAATAGAAATTTGGTTTTGTGGGAAGGGAATAACAAGACAGAACGTTGGTTGGATCTGCAGGGAGCACCAGGAGAACAAATGATAGAGAATCGCTCGCGTAAATATAAGGCAGAAGTGGGCTTATGCAGGATATTGAATAGGAGACATAATATTCGAGTATTCCTACGAAGGCGTATATGGAGCCATTTAAGTTGCCATTTAAGTTCTTTGCGAAAATGAGAAACATGCTCGAATTTTCTGAGATTGTATATAAATCGGATACATAGATTTTGCATCCTCTCAAGTTTATTAGAATTATTAGAATTCAACAAATAATAAAGATAAGTTTTTTTTTTATGTGAAACATCTAGAGCCGCACGTAAAACCGATTTCTGGCGTGGCTACGTATTCCGTGGCGACGCGTCGCCACGCTATATCATGGTATATATATACAGTCTATATGCAGTAGTGTGTACGGTGTGGCGACGCGTCGCCATGCGCAATCGACTGTGCGATTCTCTCCCACTCGATCCGGCGTTAAGCCATCTCTCTCGCTACACTGAGCTCGGATACCTATAGTGTATACTCCGTATACAGTGTTATTTACAGTACAGTACACATAACCTGTGTTTTACTTGAAAACAAATTATTTTTTCGTAATATTTTATTTTATCATTATGACATATTTAGTTCCTATCACAATCTGTTCTTTTCTGCATATTACTTTTACAAAATAATGTCGATGTTTCAGATCTGCCAGGCGTCCCGTGACGGCAAGGAAGCCCAACCTCTACATAATGACCAACGACCCTTCGTATCCCTATACTTCACACATCCAGCTTGGACTGGCTCGCACGAGTCGGTAGCGGCCGGCACGACGCGCACGGGCCGCGCCCTAGAGCTCGTCTTGTCTTGATAGCGAGGCACAGAAATTAAGAGTGAAATGAGGGTCCGAATTGAGATGTGTGATAAACTAGATACTTAAAGACAATCGGGATCCCGACTTCTGAACTATACTTTTCCGACCAATATTTTTTCGAAATCTTATCGTAAGAGTAGTCGCAACATATATCTGTAAATACAAACATTGTCAATCCAGGACCGGAGGCCGGGAGCTCACAACGTTAGGCGTGCGTGCGACAAGGTAAGTACCATATTTAGTCGGGAAGACGGTCTCATCGTTGACAGTCTTCTGCGTGTAGGTCATGACGTAGTCGACGTACTGCGGCGCGGCGACGCGGGACTTCTTGCCGCGCTCGTCGTACCACGCGTAGCTGCGCCCGCCCGGGCCCGTCATGTCGGGGCACGTGGCCGCCGTGCAGAACTCCGACACCGTGCCGTACACCAGGTTCACGTGGTCGAATAGCGCCAGCGCTGGAATCAGACCAGTCAATTAACTGAAGCACAAACCTCTCCTTCATTTTTCACAATACGACATTCGAAATTCCGCGCTAACGACCTTCAATCCTTAATAAAAGCTTTCACAGTTATAATAGATGTTTTAAATTACAAAATGCAATTAGCAGCGGAAGTTAAATGCGTTAATTAGAGACTGTTCCTCTATCCGTCGACAATTGTAAAATATATGTAATAATAATAATTAGGTTAGAGCCGAGAGTAAGGTCGGCTGCTACCTCGTAGTTGAGGTCGAGGGGCGCTCGGACCGATCCCGCCTCCACGTGCTGTCATCACTAAGCCCTCCGCCTCCAACCACTGCGCTCATGCACAGGACGCGTCTAGATATCATTTCTCCCAATGTGGCCCAAACCCGTCCCTCTTTTAGTGTTTGCACCTGGCAGTGCTGATGTCGGAAAATTAAGTTGACATTTTAATGTCAATATTTTTAAATACAATATTGACATTGAGGTCGAAATGTCAATATTTTTAAATACAATATTGACATTTCGACCTCATATCTTAACGGGAGCGGCGTCATTCACGTTTGTTGTCTGTGAGCTCCAGCAACCACTCATTCCTGGTTATCTCTACCGGTCCAGCAGCGGTCGAGTCAGTTGTGAAAACCTGATAACCATATCGTTGTTCACAAAATTGACATCATTACGGTACAGGCTTGAACATTACAGAGTGGGAACGGCCGCAGACCTGGTCGCTTATCGAGTGACCTCTCGCCTGATTACACAGAGCCGTGTCACTTCCGTGGTATTTCACGCCTGGACAAAGATTTTTACTTTATAAAGCATAGTCCGGCCTCGCGTGGAGTACTGCTCCCATCTCTGGGCCGGGGCTCCCAAATACCAGCTTCTTCCATTTGACTCCGTATGGAGTCCCTCTGTATAGAGGAGGGCCGTTCGGATTGTCGATAACCCCATTCTCACGGATCGTTTGGAACCTCTGGGTCTGCGGAGGGATTTCGGTTCCCTCTGTATTTTGTACCGTATGTTCCATGGGGAGTGCTCTGAGGAATTGTTTGAGACGATCCCCTCATCTCTTTTTTATCATCGCACCTCCCGCCATTGGAGCAGAGTTCGTCCATATTATCTGGAACCGCTGCGTTCATCGACAGGGCGCTTCCAGAGGTCTTTTTTGCCACGTACCATCCGGCTATGGAATGAGCTCCCCCCTCCACGGTGTTTCCAGAGCGCTAGGACATGTCCTTCTTCAAACAAGGCTTGTGGAGAGTATTAAGCGGTAGGCAGCGGCTTGGCTCTGCTCCTGGCATTGCTGAAGTCCATGGGCGACGGTAACCACTCACCATCAGGTAGGCCGTATGCTCGTCTGCCTACAAGGGCAAAAAAACAAAAAAAAGAGTAAACAGTACTGAGAGCACGCAAGCTACGGCGTTGTCGAATGAAGAGCCGTTTCAATTGGGAGCGATGAGAAGGCACGTGTTCGTTTTTCCGAAGATTATAAATAAATCGAATGCAGTTATTGAGAAGCCGGTTAAGTTTATTGAGTAGATGTGCATTCAGGTCAAAGTAGCACACATCCCCACAGTCGTTGATATCATGATATGTACGTAACTAATGTCCGTCGGTTTCATAGTCGCGATTCGAAGCCGTCTTTCAATCGATAAACTGTTAAAAAGTATAATTACTGTGCGAAGCAAGCCATTCGTTGTAGTCGAGTCCGTGGGGCAGGTCGACGAGCTGGCGCATGTCCAGTTCGGGGAGCTTCCGCTCGAGCAGCGCCTCCTGCAGGTACAGCTTCGGGTCTCCGGCCGGCTCCCCTTCTCGCTCCTTCCGACGAGCCTTCCTGGAGATCCAATCAAAACTGCTTAATTCATTTGTCCTTTAAACCGAAACCAGTTCACAATATTCAAACGAATCGTGAAACACACACACAGCGAAGGACTACTCGTATCGCTATCGTTGTATCGCCGTTAGACATTAGAGCTGTGAGTTCATCTTCTGGTCCCGTAATGGGTGACATTATGTTGTGATGTCCCAATCGCTTCGCATCAGGTGGGACGTAATTTTGTTCACCCATCGACGCAATCAATAAATAAAAAATTATTTGCTTGTGTGTTATTTCTTTTTATTGACTTTTTGGCAGGAACGCGGAGAGCGAAGTCGTGTGAGTTGTGTTATTTAGTCAGTTTCGTGTTTCTTAAGGTTGAAATATGTAGTAACAGTGGTGGTTTATGAACTGTCTAGACTGTTTATTATAATAGAATATAAGAAAATATAAATTAAACAATATTTTTTACTGGGTACGGACCTCTTGTGAGTCCGCTCGGGTAGGTACCACCGCCCTGCTTATTTCTGCTGTAAAGCAGTAATGCGTTTCGGTTTGAAGGGTGGGGCAGCCGTTATAACTATACTGAGACCTTAGAACTCATATCTCAAGGTGGGTGGTGGCATTTACGTTGTAGGTGTTTATCCGGTAACCACTTAACTTCAGGTGGGCCGTGAGTTCGTCCACCTAACAATGCAATAAAAATAAAATATAAGACTAAAAAATATAAAAGAAAAAATAATCAATTATTGTAAAAACTTAACTTAAACTATGTAACTATATATAGATCTGAGCAGGTACACAAGATAAGGTGCTTTATGACAAAGCAATATATTAATTAGTTGGCCGGCGATGCTAGATCAAGAAGTAAGTATAGGGCAATAGGTATAGTAACCGGCAAACATCTTGAGCAAATGACCTTGACTGCGCAGAACCGAATTTTAGATCACTTTGGTGGTGAGGGTGAGGCGCGACGGCAGGGGAAATCATATCGAGCGCTTTATTGGTAGATCAGTCGAACCTTGCGTCCCGCACCGCGCCCTCATTCAGCTTGCTCCCAAAAGTACGCTTGCGTACAGTGGAAAGTTATTATATTATTAAAGTCTATCGTTATTAATCGTTAAGTTATTTGTTATATTACTTGTGGACTTTGTTGCCATTGCTATTTGTTGAGTGTTTGTTGTTTTTTATAAAACATACACTATGCCGCGACAAACCGGTGTAGTATTCAAAAGAAAGGGCAGAAAATTTGTGTACGACGTATATTGCTTCATTATAAAACAGGGGAAGAATGATATGGAAAAATTAAAACAGACTTCGGAAGTAACAAAACCATCAGTGAGGACTGTTAGGTGCATTATTAAGGAAGCTAAAGGCTCTGGCTTACTCGCCGTGTTTCGGACTCCGGGTAAGAAAAGATCAGGGAAGAAGAAAGTTACCGGAATGGATAGTTTCGTTCAATCTGTAATAAAAAGATGTAATCATAATAACTACATAACAAGCAGCGAAACTCCGTACCGTAGAAAGGCTTCGAACATTTTAAAGAAGATACAAATTTTAATGGCTCGGAATGAAGCTTACGACGTATTATGAAAGAGCTAGGCTTTAGATGGAAAAAAAGAACAGAAAATAATCGGAAGCTGGTAATTGAAAAAAGTAACATTCGATTACTACGAATCGAATATCTTCAAAAAATAATTAATTATAGACAAAAAAGAAGACCGAATCGACCGAGTTGTAAACTACACCGATTAGCCCTATGTCGACTAATCACGATGATAGCGACTCGGGTGATGAAAACAGTGATGATGATGATGGTCAAGATTATGATAACGAAAAAAAAAATACAAATACCAGCTTCGCTTCAACTGAACCAAGACCTGGCACCAGCTCTAGTTTTGACTTCATAGAAGGAATATCTATTTTACCCCAAGATTAAATTATTACAATTATTAACCTACATTTTTTGTTGATGTTCTAATAAATATATAAAAAAATACATATGTTGATTTTAATAATTTAATTGCATTATGACGCAGAGTATATTATGTTTTTGCACGTGAGTGTACCATGCGCAAACTTACCCCCACTACGTCAACAAATGCTCAAGAAGTTTGCCGGCTATTATAACATTGGGCATCGGGAGCGCATGGTGTAGCTATTGGCGGTAGGACGGAGGCGGCGCGCCACCAGTCCCGCCTGCCGCATGCTGCGTGTCGCTTCTACCAAAGCTATTCTAACTATACTGAGACTTTAGAACTTGTATCTCAAGGTGGGTGGCGCGTCTACGTTGTAGATGTCTATGGGCTCCAGTAACCACTTAACACCAGATGGGCTGTGAGATCGTCCACCCATCGAAGCAATAAAAAAAAAAAAAAAAAAAGATAACATTTTAACTTTGTCACTATGACACTGCTTATCATTACACTGGTCCGATAACGGGACTGAATCGATCATCAGATATTGATTGGTCGTGGTTTTCATAGAAAGTGAGTCACGCGCATGTTTTATGAATTTACAAATAACTCACTTCCCGAAAATGACATTCACCAATACAGATAGACACACCACAAACACTTCCAACAGACGACTTCCGAGCGTAGGATCCAATGCATTCCTGTCATAATTGGATGCACGAGTATAAATAATTTCTGGTCATGGAAGAACGAGGTTCGATAGAGGGTCTGGTCAGACAGTGGTGGCGAGTGGCGCGGCGCGGCGCGGCCTGCTACCGACGCTCGTGACCGCAATCATTATAAGTGCGTCAATTGAATGCGATTCACTCCAACCGATTCATTACTAATTCTAAACTGACACGAAAGTGTAATTCACGAATACTAAAAAGAAACAGTATTTATTATTGTTTCAATGAAGCTCGTTCATTATTGTGAGTGTGATTCGTTTTAAAATAAAATTATGATTTTGCAAACGAAAAACTGCTTTGCATCGGTTAACGTCAGGGTCATTTCCCACCAGTCCCTATCAAACATCGAACATTACGGTCAATAGAACAAGTACATGAACGAGGCGGAAGAGACATTCGGAGAGCGAGTACGACATCCACGGTTCTCACCTGGACGGGACCGCCGAGTACAGGTAGGAGGGCAATGAGAACAACACACCGAGCACGACGGCGTGACACATCGCGGCGACGAGCGACGACTGAGAGGCGCCGAGTGTACGCGCCGCGCGCGCTCTTCCCCTCCCGCGGCCCGCGCTCCTCCACTGACAGAGACTCACATATACTTTAGTCGCTATCTCTTTCGCCCATGTATAACTCTAACAAACAAGATACCTATTCGTCGCCCGCGCCTACATCTACCATGCAATGTCACAAACAATGTCGCCAATCAATCACATGATTCATTTGATAATCCAGTTAGTCGGGGATATTGCTCGGTACGGTTTGCTAAAGACCTTGTCGTCCACCTGATATTAAGTTGTCAGTCGTTCATGGACAAAGACGGACGCAAAGCCAAGACGGATTACCAACTAAAAGACGAATCCACATAAAAAAAATATATTGGTGCCCGATGCAGGAATGATGCGCAATTTATTTGAAAATAATAACATCATCATATCAGCCTAAGATCTGACAGGACTTGACAACGAATATTTCGATTATTAAATCATTAAGTATTCATAGAAACGTAAAATAATTTTGGACGTTTTGATTTTTCCCTTTGAGAACAATGTTAGAAACTGGAACAGAATGCGAATTGGCAGCGCGTCGCGGACAGAGAGGACAGGGAAGTGAGGCGCGGGCGAGATCATTCACCGCCGCGCCGCCGTCGGGCGAGCTGCCAGCGGGCCGCACCACGCCGGGAAGCGGAGAGGTGCTGACGCATATTGAGGCAACTACTGCAGCTCTGTCCCGCCTGGAGCACTGGAAAGCTTCACGGTAGATGGGCCCTAGTGCCTACTCGAGCGGGCTTAGTGTGCCCTACAACCACTCATATCTAAATTAGGACTACGAGAAATACTTTACTTCGATAGAGACCTGGACTTCCAACCCCCCAACGGTGCCACCATATGGAGTTTATCGGCATAAATCTAAGTTTTCAAGTGCCTATATTAATTAGCGAGTGATTGGCAATGTCCGACGAGCCTTCAAATACATTTGTTATCTCATTAAAAAACGTATCATTGATAGGCAGATGTAACACCTACAGTATCCGAAATCATCATAGGTAAAAACCGTCGTAGTGTTTGTTACAATCCGCGAATTAAATTATCCCTTCGTAACAAGGTGAACAAAACTTGCAAACGTGTCATCATGACCTATGCAATTACAGTGTTCGCTCACGCGGATCAAAACTCTCTCCAGGTGATCTAATCTTGTTTCTACAGGATAGCCGTCAGAGCACCGTGGTACGTGAAGAGAACGTTGTTCTTCACGACCACCTAAAAATAGAACCGTACGTAAATATGTAAAAGAAGCGTCAGAAAGCTACTTTGAAAAACGAACGCGACTCGATAAAACACTTATCGTGGCCACCGATTACATATCCGAACCTAGGCGACGGAGCAAAGCCGTCGTCACCCGAAACATGTCTCGGGTCCCCTGGATCCAGTCTCGGTGCGCTTAGGCTCTTCAAGCACCGGTCACCGCCTTCGTCGAACTCTGATTATGACGAAGACTTCGGCGAGCGACCTAACCCATAGACACACAACGTATGTCGCGATTCCGAACCGATGGTAGATTCTGCGAAACATTGCTCTGGCTAGGGCTAGTGTTAGAAAATTTTCTCAGGTTGAGCCCGTAAGCTCACCTCCGACTCCAACGACACCGGGCCACCGCATCCGCCGCTATTTTGTTTGCAAATTATGGAGGATATCATTTTTCTATCCTATATTATTTTAATTACGTTTGTGGAGAGAGCGCTTTTCTTGAGGGCAAATAGTCATCGTCGTAAACGTCAGCATGCGTACTTTAAAGGATATTTGGAAATTACTTCATTTCATTTCATCGAACTTTTCATTTTTTACATATTTAGTAATAAATAGCTCATGTTCGC